GCAGTATTGATTAAAATTAGATTCTGCCACTGTTACTGAATGTTATGGACTAGGTCCTTAAACTACATGGTAAACCTAAAAGCCCACTCCCCACAAGCACCAGCAATTATAAGAGGTAGTTTTTATGCCAAGATGAGTCCTCATGATATGGCCCTTTGTGTTAATAAAAAAAGCAGAGGTAAACCCCACTACTACCACTGCAGCATGCTCTTCTAAAAAGAAATGCTGTAATTTTGCAGAACTCCTAGTAATTCAAATCTAGGTTGATATTCTAAATGGGGCAGTCAATGGGATCTGTCCTGGAGAATTTACACATTGGACAGGAACTGCCGTTAACCATATAGCAATCTCTCATAGCTTGTTACTTCTCTTGGACAAATTCAAAATCAATTGCTACCTAGATAGTAATCTCGTGCTAGCCTTAAATCTTCATCCTTTGAGTCAGGAATTATTTGTATTTGTGGACAATCTCTCTCCAGCTTTTATGGAGAGACTGAACTCTTTCTGGAGATCAGAGCACCCACAATTGCACACCAACCAGGCCAAGGTACTCTGATTAGTTACAAGGAACTCAGAAATATTTGTCAACAATCTGTAAATAAATAGACAGCAATCAAATGCCCCCTCCCCATTTCTATAATTCAAAAGTCCAGTTTGATTCTGAGTGCAGTGAAACAAAGAAAGATGTGGTTGCTTCCTATCAGGCCTATTATTTATTTATATAGAGGTTATATGCAGCTTAATCCAACAAGGCTCCAAGCACTAAAATAAAAACAAAGAAAATGAAACAATATATGTCTAGAGAGTGAATACCATCTATACTCCCATCAAAGTTTCATACAAATTAAAAAGCAATATTAATTATAGATATCAACAGAAAAAAAAAAGAGGAGTGTATTAAAGGAGGCATGTGTAAAAGAATTTAGAGCTTTCAAAAGTCTGTTAATATACCCTACAACAGTAAAGTATCATTGCTGGAATCCCTGCAGAATCTATTTCTTGACTTGGGCTACCCCAAAGAGTTGACTTCAGTCTTAGAAGCCTCTCCAGGTCTCTTTTTGTCCCATCTTATACTAAATAAAATCAAGGTGGGATTACTTTGAGTTCCATTCTCACACTTCCTTCCATCTCTGGACTGTGTAATCTCTTCTCCATCCCTCTTTAACAGCTCTTTCCTTTCTTCTCCCCTTAACAATTCTTTCATACTTTCTCCAAAGTTAGCTCTGAAATCCTTTACATCATGGTAGCAGTCAATTTCAGCAGCCAAAATTAACTACTTTCTCTCATTCTAGAGATTAGTTTCAGCTTATCTAAACATGGACAGTGTGCCATATACCAGCAACACAGTAAGAGCTGCCCTTCCAGAAGATGGATGGATGGATGGATGGATGGATGGATGGATGGATCGATGGATCGATGGATCGATGGATCGATGGATCGATGGTGATAATGAGAGAGAGAGAGATTATGTGCCATCAAGTCATTTTCAACTCCTAGTGACCACATAGATTTTCTCCGTTATGATCTATCCCTAACCTGTTCTTTCAAGTCTCCCAATGGTGTGCTCATTGGCACTGTAACTGAGTCCATCCACCTTTCTCAGCATTATAGCCTTTTCCAGAGAGCTAGGTCTTTGCATAATGTATCCAAAGTAGGATAATTTGAGTCTGGTCATTTGTGCCTCAACTGGATTGATTTGTTCAATGATCCATCAGTTTGTTTTCTTGGCTGTCCATGGTATTCTCAAGAGTCTCCCGCAACACCAAAATTCAAAGGCATCAATACTCTTCCTATCCTGCTTCTTTAAAGACCAACATTTGCTTCCATAGAGTGTCAGAGGGAATACCATGGCTTGCATGATTCTGATCTTTGTAGGTGTAAACACATCACAGCATTTGAATATCTTTTCCAAGGCCTTCATGGCTGTTCTACAGAGAGCTAGTCTGTGGCGTATTTCTTGACTGTTTTTTCCTTTACTGTTGATAGTTGATCCTAAAAGACAGAAGCCATCCACCACTTTGATATCTTCATTGCCAGTTCTAAGGCTGGTTGTTCTATCTGTTGTCATTAGTTTGGTCTTCTTTATATTTAATTTTAATCACTGTGCTCTTTCAGTTGATAGATAGATAGATAGATAGATAGATAGATAGATAGATAGAT